GAAGTTAATCAAAATAAAGATGAACACGGTTGACATTTCAGGATATAGATAATTTATTTTACGAATATTTCAAGAGCTCCTGCTCTCTTCATCAGCGTTAACCGTACTGAACATATGATCAAAGTACTAACATATACATTAGGTGTGGTATTAACTATGAATAAATTATCTGATTACAATGTAAGAATAGAGTCAAATTTTAAGAAGTTCGATATCTTGTGTTGTTGCTCAGTGCGTCGTCATCGGAGAGTCTCCGATGACGACGCACTGAGCAACAACACAAGATATCGAACTTCTTGAAATTTGAATGTAAGAATAGAAAAGCTGGAAATAAACTATAGCTATGATGTCTAATAACAGTCAATGAATGTATAGCCACTTAGAATGCCAAGATCTTTATTAAGGCCTTGTTTATGGGTATTGAGGTGTAAAACCCAACGCATCTCAGCACATCTTCTGGCTTTCATTGTTATGTAAAAATTGCCTATAATAATGAATCGAAGGTTAGATATTGAGTGGCCCGGTTCGGAGTTAAAATGCTCACTGATTTTCTATCTTTATTCCTAATGCAGCTTTTATGATTGCCCTCGATCTTATGCTACAAACAGTTTCACCTACATAATTACCATGGTTGCGCAAATTACAAAAAATGAAATACACAACATTGAAAGCTGAACAGTCTAACATCGGGGCCCGTATAAAGTGACTAGTGCCCGGTACTACAAACCTAATATCAGTATTGATGACAGTGCAAAGTTTACACCTTCTATTAATGTGTTAGCAAATGAAGTAATCATGGGGTTATAATAAAAAATCATTATGTGATCAGAGGTAGATTTATTCTTGTAAGTAAGGAGTTCTTGGCGGGTTTTAGACGAGGCCTTTCTGATTGCTGATTTGATGAACTTAAGTGGGTAATGACATTTAAGAAAATGGCTAATCAAAAATGAAACTTGCTTCTGGTAGTCGTCAGGTTCAGAACATATTCGCTTAAGGCGTAAACATTGACTGTATATAACAGATTTCTTTAACGATGTCGGATGGAAACTCCTGAAGTCAGGGTACTTATGGTTGTCAGTCAGTTTACTATAATTATACAGAAGTACAAATTCGGCCATTATCTAATTTATCATTAACATCTAAAAACGGAATTTCCTTGTGAGAGTGCTCAATAGTGAACTTAATAGAAGGATGATAATCATTAATAAATGACTTAAATTCTATAAGTCTAAACCATGATTCCAAATGAAAAATACATCGTCTATATATCTAGAGTAATAGTCGGGTTTATGAGTTAGATCGGCCCTTAAATTCTCTTCAAGTTCCCACATGAAAATATTGGTATAGCTAGGTGCCATCTTAGTGCCCATTGCAGTCCCTTTAATCTGTAAGTACCGTAATGTCTGTCTTTAAAAGTGAAGTTGTTGTGGGTTAAAATGAATTTAATAATGGCACATATATCGGCGGCAGGTTCACTAGGTGTTCACCATATATATATACCATATACACATACCACTTATACACATCTAGATGTGTATAAGAGACAGATTCAAATTTCATGTCGTGAAAGGTTTACACAAACGTTTTCCCAATTCGCAGTGGTAAGATCATTAATTGGCACTCCCGATTATGTATGGTCAGGGCTTTGCACCCCCCCCCCCTCCCCCATTTTTGTACACAACATTTTATAGCTTGTTCTTGAGCCAGTACAAATTCTTTCCTGGGATCACTCAAAATGAATACTTCTAAAATATGTAAACATGCATCAGTACACGTTATACATATTGGCCCAATATAATCATGGAGGTATTAAAATTTATTTTAAAAAATCTTAAATCCATAAATCTCAAGCCAGGTCTTTTAAGATATAGAAATATGATACTGTATGGTTCAGTTTGGTTTTATCGTTTTGCAAGCTTCTTTAAATATTTATATTGTCTGTTTTGTCATCTTTGTGAACGCACCGTCATCGTGTGCCACTGTTGTAAAAGTAAAGATTCAAATAAAGATTATTAAAGTATTATAAAGTTTTGTTTAATAATATACTACTACTAATAGTAATGATGACGATGATGATGATGATGATGATGA